CCTGAAGGATTGATTTTCCGGTCATGACTAAATGCTAAATTGCTCCCTTGACTGAACTTAGCGATATACACATAGTGGAATCATTATCGTAATTATCATTAATCTTTGACCTTTTAAAAAGAAAGAAATTTTGACACATGCTATAACATGGAAAAACCTTGCAGGCATTATGTTAACTGAAATAAGCCAGACACAAAGACAAATACTTTATGGTTCTGTTTATGGGAAATGCCTATGATAGTCAGATTCATAAAGACAGAAAGGAGAATGGTAGTTGGCCAGCAGGAGGGGAGGGGAGAATTGTTGTTCTACTGAATATAGAATTTCAGTTTTGCTAGATGAAAAAGTCCTGAAGATTTTTGCCCAAAAATGTGACTACACTTAACATTACTGAACTATACACACATAAGAAGATAGGCTGGCAATGTAGCTCAGTGGTAGAGCATATGCTTAGCATGCGCAAGACCCTGGGTTCAATACCTGGCACCAAAAAAAAGGTGGTTAAGATGGTAGAGTTTGTAAGTTTATTATGTATATCTTAGCACAACTGTAAAGCAAACAAAAGAAGTAACATTTCTGGATAATAATCAGTTCACTAAAGACCCTTTGTAAGCCAAAACAATATTACTGTCTCAGAGCAATGAAGTAACACTTGCAGTCTTTCTTTATGTGGAGAATGGCAAACATAGATTTTATGTTTTCTTGAAAATTGACTTATCATTCTGAGTTTTAGAAATAATTCTGGAGGCTGGTTGTAGAACAGTATGAATGTACTGAACACTACTGAATGATGGAAAATTTTGCATTATGTCTATTTTACCAGAGAGAGAAAGAGAAAGAGGAGAGGAGAAAGAGAGAGAGAAAGAGAGAGGGGGGAAGAGGAGTTCTTGTGCAAACTCAGATGTTTCAGAAATATAAACGCATAGAGAAAGATACTTAAGTGTACTTCACTTAAAATGTCTTTAGGCCATTTGGTTATTGGAAATTAAATAGTGTAATATTTTTTAAATGGCTACCCTTACACATTTTCCTTGGGTTTTTTCTAACCTCTGGAAGTACAGGAACTATATTCTCTGAACTGTTAACTATATGCACTTTAAGAAACTAAGTCTTTTCTCCCACCCTGCCCTATATGACATGATAAAGAATATTTACAGTTTCAATGATTTCCATGGAAGGTCAATAGCTGTGCTTTGGTATTCTCTGCCACTGTGGTAGAAACAGCTAGTGCTCACTCACATGTCTTATCCCCTTAGATTCCCCAATAGATAATTCTCAATCCCTGTGGACTTGGGTGGGCCATTAGATTAGTGCTCATCAGAGTGAATGTCCCACCTACAAGCTGTGGCCCCTTTTTCATGTGCTTTCCTACCCTTCCGCTGGCCAAATGGAGAGTCCCCCAAAGAACTAAAAGAGGTTGGAGCTAGGAGAAGGAACAAGCCTGGATCCCTAAGTGACTCATGGAATAGAGACTATTCTGTGGGAATGGAACAAGAATGAGAACTAAACTTTTGCTGTGTTGAGATACCAGAATTTTGAACTTGTTAAGCAGTTAGACTGCTCTGACTAATACAACCATAAAAGATGCTTCGGAAGACAGGGTGCATATTGATGTACCTGTAAACTAAGAAAAGGTCAGGTAGGCAAGGGAAATGGCAATTACATGTCTAATGACTCCCAGGTGCTTTGCATTGCTCATTAATCATGTGGCAAATATGTTTAAATAAACACAGACAATTAGGGTTCAACAAATATCTCAAGGGAAAAGGATTTTGTTGAGGCTGAACCAGACTGTTAATGCCTCATTTAGGCCCAGCTCAACAGATGCAGGAAAAAATCAAAGTTAAAGGCACTTCAGGGAAAACTGAGATGAAATTAAAGGAGAGAAATTCAGGCATTTCTTTCAGACTTCTCACTCCCCCAGGTATTAGAGATTTGAAATTATTATTATTGTTATTATGATGGTGATAAGGACTGCAACCACCACCAACCACCACCACGACAATGAGGATGATGACGACCCTGATAATCATGTGATGATCGATGCTGACACAGGATGAAGCTCTTAGGGGTTCTCAAGAGTTTTCCTGTCTCCGTCCAGTTCTTCTCCCTGTCCCTTCCCAGGCTGGGCCTAATTTGTTCTCACTGACAGTGTCTGTGTCAGAGACTAGATTCCTGTCTGCTAACTCCAGCTCTGCTGCATTGCTGTCTGAATTCATTAGCCAGGAGAAATTATCTGCCTGCCCTGACATGGAGGGAAGTCTTCACTCTTCGCTTCCATCTGGACCTTAGGCCATAGTCCTACCAATTTCTCTGTGTCCTTCATGCCATGGTTCTCCCAGCTCTGAAACTCTTAGAATTCATTATTTAGGAGATGCTTTTTTGTGACTCTTCAATGAACTTATATGCACTTAAAATAAAACCCTTATCATGATGTCCATGCCCCTGCATGATCTGACCACTGCCCCTCTTATGCTAACACCTTGATCTGCCTCTTAGATCACAGCTACTCTGATTTTTCACTTCCTGAAAGATGCAAGCTTCTTCACAAGGCTTTTCGATCTGCTGTTTCCTGCGTCTGGAACCACTGTTCCCTCAGCTCATGACATGTTTAGCCTCTTGACTTTCTTAAATGTCAGCCTAGAAGCCACCTCTCCAAAGCACCTCTCTGACCCGCCCACTTTAAGCGGGCCTCCATATTGGTCGCCACTTGTGTCCTTTCAGCCTCTCCTACCCCCTTTACTGCAGCCATTGCAGCAACAGAAAACTTTGTCCAGGTTCCACCTGGCAGCACCTGGCCTCAGAGGTACCCACTTCTTTCAGTTTCTGCCCCAGGGTTTCTCTGCTGCTGCAGTGGGGACTTTGCCTGTGTAGCCTGGAAATGTGAAGAAACTAACAGTTTATGACCAAGGGGAGCTGGCAGACCAATGGTTGTCTCTTTCGTTCCTTGGGTGAACAGCTCTGACCTATATTCCACTTGGCTCTTTGGTGTCCTAGCAGGATTGTCCCCATGGCCCACAGCAGTAGCCAACTTGACAATGTCTCTAAGTTCCAATTTTTCTTCTTGTTTTATTTTCCTTTCCCTAGTCTTCCTTCCTCTTCCCTGGGATCATTTCCTAAAATAAACAACTTCTGTGCAATCCTTTGCCAAGATTTATACAAGAACGCAAATGAAATCCCCTTCCCTTACTGAATATTTTAAGAGCTCCACTTCTCCATTAGCTCTTACCACAGCTCTCTATTGATTTCTACAGGGTTTTTTTGGCTCTGTCTGGCTTAAAATCTAAATGTGAGAGAGCAGGAGCCTCATCAGTTTTCAACTGTCTTCTCAGCTCCTGGTGTGCAATTCCCAGCATAGACACACTACCACTAAATACCCCTTCATGAATGGAACACAAAATGCCATGTTCTATTTTAAGAGTTACATTTGTACTCTAGGCACTGAGAGGCAATATGCCATTCTGGTTAAACGCATTCCTTCTGGAGCCCTACTTTCTCAAGTCAGTTCCTGACGGCCACGTAAGTAGCTCAGCAGCCTAGAGCTGGTTACCAAGCTATGCTGGACACCAATTTATCCATCTGCCAAGTGGGGTTGATAATGGTACCTGGCACTCAGGACTGTTACGATGCTTAAATAAATTACATAAAGCACTCAGGAAAGTGTCTGGCACCTGGTAACAACTAAGGACTTTCTTTCTTTTCTTTCTTTCTCTCTTTCCCTCCCTTCCCCTTTTTGCAATCATTTAACTAAACTTCAGACTTGCAAAGATATGCTATCCATTTCAGATCTTCCACATTTCTCAGTCCTTTAGCTATATTTTCCAAGTATATGTGGGTTGAAGATCAGCCAAATGGCACATAGTTAAGAATTAAGTCACTTACTTGCGTGTGTGGTGCTTTAAATATTCCATATGTCTTAATTTGACTTAAGAAGTGCACTCTTCTTCCCTCTACCCCCACCCCTCCCCAGTCAAGAAAACAAGGCCTTTCTTCTCCATGTAGAAGGAACTCATGCCCCATTAATATTGCCTTTCAGCAGGCAACTCTGATAAGGGAATTTGTGTCTATTTCGGGGCTAAGGAATGTTCATACCATAGTGACAGCAAGCTCCTCTCCTACAGATACACTCCAAGAAAGAAGAAACCACTCTTCTGCTTTGGTTTACAAGCTGACCTTCAAATGACTTTTAGAAACGTTTCTTAACTCCATTCAACTCTTAGGTGGAGGAAAACCAAAGTTGAGTTTTTTCCTGTTTAAAGGTTCAACACAAGACAAAGAGACTGTGTGTCGGCATGTGGGAGGAGAGATTTTGATGCCTGAATGTTATTCTTGGGCTGCGCAAGGGCGGCAAGGCTGGAATTTTGTCATTGTTACTTGAGCCTCTTCACTTGCAAAGAATTGCTCACCCCACTCCTCGCCTGACTTCCCTCTTCACTTTCCCCTCTGACTAATCGCTACCTGCATTAGAGCCAAGACAGGTGGCCAGGCCTTATGTGTCAGGTTTGAGTAAGGCAAGTGTCTGGGTGCATGACTGTGAAACAGGGTGATGAAGCCTAAGAGGCAGTTTTAGGATTTCCCTTCTAATCCAGGGTTGTAGTGCATTAGGATGAAGTAAAAATAGGTTGCAGGGGAACGATCAAGTGTTGTGCAATACCGAAGACGTGAAAGCTAGGTTTTGGCCCTGAGACTGTCTCAGACTGGCTGTGTGATCTCTCTCCTCTTTCAGCTTTTGTTTCCTGGAGATGGGACCAGTGCTGTTTTAATTGGTTTTCATTTGATCTAGGCAGCTGATGACTGCATGAGATTTTAGCCTTTTGCTGTGTATAATTTGGATTTACCCACATCTCTCCAGCAAATGATCCTTGACCCTACAAAAGGCATCAAGGAAATTCTTATGGTAGCTGTAGCAATCAAAGTCTGATATTTATTGCCAATATTTTCATGCCTATTAAATTAATATTTAATTCAGCTATGTTTTGTTTTGTTTTTTATCTTTGAAGAACACATTTCAGACTGGAACTTAACCTGGACATGGCCTAACCTCTGTAACATGGATGGATGAGTTTTATAAAGACATTAAGACCTCCTGAAATTCTATATGTATATGTGTACATAAACACATATGTGTGTGAGTATATATATATATATATATATATATATATATATTTATGTACTGATATGCGTATGGCATTGGAGTTAAAGCACATAATACTTTTTCAAAAGTTCCTTCAAGCTATTCTATGATTTTATGATGATTTTGTTTAGTTATGTTCTATTTATCTCTACTACTTTCTTGCTTCATTGCCATTCCTGTCCATAATGTTGCACAAAGCAGAACTTTAAGAACACCTCAAGGTATTTTTAAAGTGAAGCCAGTAAACAGCTTTAGCTGACACCTCCAGTGTGGCACGGAGATACAAGCCAACACAAACAGGGAGTGGGAGGTTTGCTGACAGTTCTGGGCACTGAGAGTTCAGGACTGGTTTGGTGAGGCAGACTTGAAATCAAGCAGTGACTTGCAGAGAAGCCAGGGAGGACTCAGTCATTTTGCCTCTTGTACAAGCTCCTTCCACAAGGAAAGGAAATTCTAGAAGAGGCTGGGTCCTCCTTTGGTCAAAGCAAGGGAAGCGACTTGCCTGACACAGGTGACCTGAGGTCCACTGATCCTGACTCCAACATCTTACTTAAGGTGTTCATGCTGTGGAAACACTGGGTTCTCCTGTTTGGTGTTGGGGGCTGTACCCTAAACTCCAGCATTATTCTGCATATTTATTCAGATCTAGACTGAACCATTGAAACAATGAGATGTCTAAGAACAGTGGCTGAAATAAAAATACTTGTCTGGTGCCTTATATGGTTGGGGACCCTGCTCATACAAAGCACTTGCTCCCATCATGTTTTCCTGTTATCTTTAAAATGAAGCTATTCTGTAGCCATAACATAAGCTCTAAAAACCCACAGACAAAGCTCTAGGAATAGTTGCCTAGATCATGTTTAGAACCCAACAGCAGACACTATTGATTCTCTGGCCATATCCTGTACTCCAGGTAGCTTTGAACTAAAAGAATTTTTGCCTTTAGGCTTCCTCTGGCCTCCTGGTGGTGTGCTTCGCATATGGAGTTGGGCACAAGTGCTGGGAAGTTGCTAAACAGCAACCAGTATGACAGCTGATCTGCAAATACTCTAGCTTTCTTATTCCCAGGGTGAGACACTCCAAGTCATGTTCTCCGTCACTCCAAAAGGTGACTGAACCCCAATCACTCACATTAGTAGCCAGCTCATTGGCCTATCCTGTATTGCTTTTGTTCCATCCATGTCTCATTTCTTCTGTTTGACTGGTCCTCCTGGGATTACTATCTAAATTAAATTAAATTACTTTCTTGAATTCAGGAACTGCTTCTGAGAAACCCAAATTAAGATACTCTTGTCCTTGCTACACACTTCTGTCTGATCACAATAACCTTAACACATACTCTGGACCATCCAAACAGCCCTCACCCTTCCCTTTCCACACCCTCTCCCCACCGACTCTTTTTTCACTTTCCACAAAAACAAATGCGCCAGGATGAATCAGCTTCAGACTTCTTCACTCTTCCTATCCAGCCCCCCACCATACCTACACTGATGTTTACAGAAACCCGTGAAATCCAGACCACAAAAACATGACCTGTTGTGGCAAAGAATACAGCTGTCTTCAGAGCTTGCTGGTCTCCATCAGGCTTTCTCTGTTACCTCTTGGGGCCTGTGCAGGTGGCATATTGCTCGTATTTGTGCCTGAGTTCTGACTGCGCATTAAGAGACAAGGCATAGGAGCTAGGTGAGTAGCTCTCTCCTGTTGCAATAGATAGCATTCTCTTTCTATTTCCTCCCCCAACAGGGAAAGGATGAAAGTGTTTTTCATGAAGACAGGAAATATCTGCTGTACAGCTTTGAAAATTGGACAAAATTACCCTAAAAGAACAGGCCTCTTGGGTGCAGAGAGATGTGTGGGCTGAATTTTCAACTGTACGTTTAATAATAGTGCTCTGTGGCCACACCCTGCAATTTTACAAAGGGAAAAAACTTAGTGAAATAAAATCAGTGTTGCCTTCTTTAAGATGTACTGTCATTTTTCTGTTGCAGCTGTGCAAGATTCAGCAACAGGAAGCAGGGATTCCTTCCTGGGCAGGACTCCCAGTGCACCAACTTCAGCCACATCCATTGATGGTTAAACAAAAGTAGCGCAGTTCAATTTTCAGTCACCATGGACAGGAACTCTTAGTACTTGCATGAAGCATGCGTTTTTATGCTAGCTCTTTAGGGTACAAATCTCTTTGTCAGTATCTGCATCACAATCAGTGACTGATCATGTCACTTCTTTCCAAATCTCTCAGTGCAAGATCACTGTGCCTCTGTCATTCAGTTCACACACAGACAGCAAAGCATGCCTTGTCTTCTAGGGAGAGCTCATGATGGGGCATTCCGCAAGAAGGATAATCAGTGGAGGGAAGCAGCCATCAAAACATGAAAGTGAAGCAAAGGAATCAAACATGAAAACAGAGGAAGTGAAATTCAAGTTGAACATAAACGGAGTCAAGAAGTTACAGCTCGGTATAGGAAGGATGATTGCTGTTCTAGACTCTACCTGAGCAACCCAAAGAAACTGAATAAAGGCGAACTTGTATAAATAAGGAAGAGAAGAAAGGAAGACGATGTCTTAGAGGAAGTGATATCAACAAAAAAAGTGACATTAACAGAACACTCAAAGATACTTCATGGTATTGAAAGTGCAAAGGACAAAATGCTAGAATTGAACCAAATTTAGAAAAGTAACTGACAATTCATCAAGGTGTAAAACAGATATTTGCCCAGTATTATAAGTTATATGACCAAAAGGCAGGACTGTGTATATTTAATATATTTTTCCTGTATATTATGATGTTCTGACATCTTAAAAACCTTCCTGGCTCAGAAGAGACTGTCCCTCCTGGACTAGCTGGTCCTGATAGAAAGGACTCAATCAGGAGCATGCTTCTGATATGGAAACTACCCAGCTCAGAGCCAGGGCTCCTCTCCATGGCCCCCCAGCCCCAGGTAGCAATATTCCTCTGCCTTAGTCACCCGAGGGCCATCACCAGGCAAGCGGACCCCATAGCATAAAACCAGCTGAAATTATTCAAACTAGCCAACTGGAAGTTTTCACCCTCCCTGCCTTCCTTTCCTTCAGAAATCACAATAAAGGCTCTGACCTAAACCTTGCCCTGGCTCCTGTCTTCTTGCTCCTGACCCCTCTGAGGCCTCCTAATGTGCTGTCCCTCTGGTCGCCAGGACCTGTGACCCCAACACTGTACACTCTGTTTTCTCGAGCCTCTCTTCTGTGTCCTCTTGTACACATGACTGAGCATCACATAAAAGCACAGAGAACACACACTGCTCAAACAAAGAAAACCTTGTAATTTTTGATATTATATTTAGTCTTTTGAATTATCATGTGATAAATATTTGCTTTACCAATTTTATATTATACCATTTTATAACCTGTACAAAATTGTTAATACTTTGACAACAATTTCTAATTTTTTTTTCCTAGAGATTATCATTTTGTAAGGTTTCTGCTAGCACAGTCATTTTTATAATCCTGCACTACCATGCTAAGTGAAGACTGCATGTACTTAAGTTTCATCTCATTTAAAAGAGGACTGTGAAACATGTAGGCTCTGGATCTCGGCTGCCTGGGTCCACATCCTGACTCTTGTACCAAATTGCTTACTCTCTCCACTTGGTCAAGTAAACCAACCCATTCAAAGCTTGGTTTATTATTATTTTTTTTTTAATTTCAGCAGCAACAACAACAACAAAAGAACTAATAATACTTAACACACAGTGTTCTGGAAGTAAAAGGTGAACAGGCTTCAGGAAATATCCCTGAGTCAAAAAATTTACTAAAATCAAAGAATTTACCTCAGTTCATTATTAATTGTCATTAATGCATTAAATATTTTAATGTTGAACATTTTTAACAAAATGAATACCTTCTTTGCAGATGTGCATATCTGTCTCAGTTAAGGAACAGGGAAAGTCATTGTTCTGCAGTTGATATGGAAAACCTAGCACACATCCAACATTCTCTGGGAAAGGAAGAGGAAGGCTCTCGTATCAGATGTTTTGGAAGGAAGGTAAATGTGGAATGAGTTGGAAGTTCTAGATGGGAACTTTCCAAAAGCACTTTTATTGATTCTTATTGAATATTCATGAAGTGGAAGCTTTCTGTTTCTAATTGCCCAAACTCCCAGGCTGGCACATTGCAGTCAATGGTTTTCTGGTTGTTTTCTTGAGGGTTCCGTAGGGATGTTTTTGCTGCATTTGGCATAGTGAGTGTGTGTTAAAAGTGGCGACAGACCCTGGGTGTGTGGGAAGCGCTGCCTTCAGGGGCTGTTTGCTCTGGACTCTGTCCAGAGTGCCAGGCTCCTCCTGGATGACTCTTCCCCACAAAGGCAAAAGGCCTTGCTCCTCTGCAGGGATTGTTCCATTCACTACTCACCCTGCTGGTTTATTTGGGTTTTGACCTCAGGGTGATCTGGAAGCCCCCAGAAAAACTAAGTGATTCGACCCTTTTGCTCTTTCTGCACCAAAGAAAGCCTCCTAAGTAGCTTCTAAAGAAGCAGGGAGAAATGTTTGGCTGGGGCGGCTGTATCCTGCCTGCCTTTCCCACAAAGTTCAAGAGGTTATTTGGTCAGTGACTCCCTCCTGCCGCCTGCTTTGCAAGACTGCTGCCACCCAGAGAGTTTAAAGGAAGGCACCTTCCAGCCATCCTGGGGAAGTTTCTGAAATGAAGAGCCCCCTCACACACACTTAAGAGAGGGAAAGAGTGTGCCAATGAGTCAAAACATTAAGGAAATACACAGTTAGCCCCATTTACATGACACACTTTCAGTCCTACCTTATTAACTAGATGGGAGTCATCATCCCAACACGGGGCTCAGGACCCACCTTCTGGAAACACAGTTCAGGGCCCCTTCGCTCTCAGCTGTAATAATATTCACCATGATGTGAATTCCACCGACATCTTTTGGCCTGAGAGGAAGTTTAGCTTGGCTGATTTACACTTCAAGTGGAGAAAGAAAAGCTTTTTTCTTGTTCTTCTGGATAGGTTGCAGTTTTGAATTAGATATTATAATCACCTACACTTATTTATATGTGGAAAATGCAGCCTCATGTATTGACTACAATCTTTGGCAGACCTTATCAAAATCCCAAATGATCTGGAAGATGATTGTAAATCATTCCCAGGCCTACATTATTTATTTTCTTTCTGGACTCTTTCCCTGTGTATGCTACTTGGTCTTATATGCAGGAAGATGGCCAAGTAACAGGTTTAAAAACTTTCTCTAAAGGACATTTTTAGATAGGTAATAAGAAGTAGGGAGAGAGCTCTCTCTCACATGGGAAAGGATCCAGAGAGGGAGTGAGGAGGGAGGGAGAGGAGGAAAAGGGGATGAAGAGAGGAATTAAGATGTATTCTGCCACATGTACCAATTCCACACAAGGAAGGTAAACATTATATACTGGGCATATGTACTAATAAAAGTAAATAAATAAACTTTAAAAAATAAAGGTACAATTATAAAATTTAAAAAGAGAATAAAGAATGTTTAGAGAAGGTAGAAAGCCAATATAAAATAAACAAAGGAATGAATGTGTTCAAGAATGGCAATGATTGCAAATTTTTTCTTACAGGGCCAGATAGCAGGATTCTAGGTTTCTATGCCTTCTGGTTTCCGTCCCAACCATTCAGCACTGCCACTATAATGTAAAAGGAGCCATAGACAGTGCTTCAAGGAATGGGTGAGGCTGTCTTCCAATCAAAACTTTATGGACAAAAACAGGCAGCTCTTCCTAGGCCTGTGGATTGCAACCCTTGCATTATAGTTCCCTTGATACATCCATCTGGCAGGTTGCTTTCAGATGAAAAGTAAAGGAAAACTGAAAGAAAGATGGCCAGAGAACTAAAGTAAAGATCTCAGATAATCTTCCCCCAAGGTTGTATTCATCTCTGGTAGAAGTAAAGAGTTTTCCTTCGCACATGTGGACGCTCACATGCTAGAATTTATGAGGTTCCACAGAGCTCTCCTGAGGAAGGGCTCAGGTTCTACTTGTGTCTCCCAGTGCCTTCAGAAGGGGAGTGTTTTGACTCCTGATCAGCAGCAGACCCTATTTCTGACACACAGGAAGGTCTCCATAACCTTACTGTGGATAAATGAAAGAAGTATAGTGATACTTCAGTTGTCAAGTGGCTCCAAGCTCAAACTTTCCACTACTCAAACAGAAAGGTTCAAAAATAAATCTGCTTGGCACTTGTAACTTTGCTCAATAGTCAAACCCAAAATCTGACCTGAGAAAACCTGTATGGGCCCAGAGTGATTCATGCACTGTATCTTGCGTGGACACAAAGGACACTTCAATCTAAGTACTGGCAGCCTGGACAACATATAGCACTTGTGTAAGTGTGTTAAAATATTCATCATTGTGCTTTTTGTGTGTGTGAGTGTGTATATGTGCTCTATTTGAGTAATATATTGTAACCATGGCTCCAAAGAAAGTAAGTGATACCAGCAGTAAAGCTAAGAGGAAAATGGTGAAAACAATAAAATTAAAAAAAGAAATAATTGCAAAGTGTGTTTAAATCCTGGAAAAATGAATTATAAGTATGTTTTTGGATCTCAGAATCCATCATTTGGGTTTCCATCATTTCTTCTGAGAAAAATATATTCTGTTGTCAAACTTCTCAGCGTTCCCATATGAAGCATTTGTAAGGAACTTGAGTTGGACAACCGAGGTATCACTGTAATGGAAGGACCAATGGAAGGACCAAAGTACAGAAGGGAAGGAGGATGGGAGATGCATGCATGTATATAAGATGTTAGTTCCTGATGTGTCAAAGTGTTTAGGTGACCCAATATGATTGGAACTTATAACTAATCTGTGCATTTATGTGATACTCTAAAAAGTAAATTCAGCATTCAATTTGGCTCCCTCCTAGGAAGATGTTTGCAGTAGTTCCTTGCAGGTACAAAGGGAAGAGGTCTGTCTGGAAGTCTGAGAAAAGGGCTTTGTGAATTGCAAAGCAGAATACAAATGGTGCTTAAGCTCCCACAAGCAAGGGCAGGTCTCCCAGAGCAGTCCCAGGAGGTGCTCTTTTTCCTACTTTTTGTCATTTGAGTTCTTAAAATTGTCCTCAGTTTAGACCAAATCAACCTCAAATGGTCTGTGATTAAAATTTCCACTCTGAAAATCTGAGCAACATGGAAATTGTAGGAACTGGACCATCTGGAGATAATTTATAAGTAACACTTGCCTTTCAAATGGGCTCTGTCTTCCCAAAGAGTCCTCTGTCCTGTCAGTGGGAGTGCAGCCAAGGCACAAATCACTGAACTGGTCCAGGGACACTGAAGTTGCTGGCGGGAGCTTCTTATCTCTGATTCTTCTAAGAATTTGGGACGCTTCATTGAAACATTTGTTTTTCTAATGTAAATGCAAGCAGAAAGTTACTGTCCATCTTCAGGTTGGGAAAGGCTTTCTGGATGTTAATATGTGATTTGCTCAGCTTTTACTTTGTCTGCTGCTAAAATAATCGAAACTGATTAAATACTAAATAGATCCTGAAAAATCTCATGTTCATGATAAGGTTTGAGGGTATTAAAATATTACTAAGCCCCATTGTTCCTTTTTGACCTAATCCCATTGACATGACAGGGAACCATTAATGTCATCCCCTTTTCTCCCCTTTTGTCTAAGATAAGTCCTAGGCAGTGAATGCATCTCCAAAGGGCCAGCCTCAGCACTTGCCAAACAGTATAATGTGGTTGTATGAGGCAAAGAGCACTGTGGGGTCAAGGCAGGCAAAACCATGGGCGTTGATGGGGCTAGGAGACTACCCCTGCTACCAGCCCTCTGTGGAGTTGTCATGTTCATAGTGCTGAGCTGGAATTGGCCAGGTCTCACATGTGTTCACACCCCTGAAATAAGGACAAGTCTCACCAGACCTCACTATGGCTCAGGGAAGAGCAAAGTTTAAGAATTATCCAGTTCAAAGGAGGGCCCAGCAACCTGTGATCTCTGTTTCAGAGCAAGTTGCTACCCTCCAGCTCTGTACACATATAGAGATGCACCCGCATAGAGCCCTTCCCTACCCTGATTGGAGCCTCTGGGATCTACTGAGATATTTGAGCTGGAGTGTATTTACATTGCTTCTTAAGGAC